CTGAATTGTGAGTGAACTGCAGCAGGCAGACCATAAAGTTGACTTTCTAGTTTAGATAAATTCACAACTCAAAACATTTTAACAACATCAAAACCAAGTTAACTTTGTTTTTTCCTATTCTAAGTTTGGAGATCAGATTGATTTACCAACTGATAGGGTCAGAGGTCAGGATGACTACTACAAAACATTTGTGGTTTTATAAAACCCAACAACCAGGAGAAAGTCTGCAGCCTGCAGTGACATGCTAAGATGGTGGTATGCAAAATATTAAGTATTGAAAACTTAGCACACCCTAGGATAGGAAATTAAATACCTGGTTGGACTTAAGGGAATCTAAAACCTTGATAGGGTCAGAGGAAACAAGGTGGTTTGAAATAAAATACAAAGCTTATATAACTTGCTCATACCTCACAGACCAATCTGCGTGTCCCAGAATCCCTCACACAATGGCTTCCTTTGGCTGAGGAATGCAAATATGATACATTAGTGTGGCTTTCTTGAAATATTTTATTGTAACATATTTTCAATGCTACTGGCTGTTCACTATGTTTTAAGTGAACTGTAACCAACTTAATTTGACTATGTTCAACTCAGCAGGAAGATATTTTTTGCAGTGATATGAATTTTATGATAAAATGTTTCAAAACTGTCAATTCAAAATAAGAGCTTTAACTATAGAAACAGTGTTTTTATGTTTTGAAGAAGTAAACCTTGAATAGAGTGCCACTCATGCACCTGAGTCACTGGATGTGGAAGAGATACAGTTTATTTTACAGTGGACCTTGAATGAGCAATAAGGTTTCATTGTTTTGAATTGAACAAACTGATCAAACCTCAGTAGCTTTTCAGAAAAAATATTCCTTCCTCTTCCTGCGTCTGGCCTCCATCATTCCTGATCCTCTGCACCAATGACCATAAAACTGTGCAAACTGAGTTTCGAAAATAAATGCGCTTCATGGAAACATGGCAATTTGGAAAAAAACTAACAAACACATTTTTTGAGACAAATGTCAGGTTGAGGAGGGGTTTTTTCTGCTGTATCAAAATGTTTGTCGTTTACAAAACTGCAATGGAAATACTTTTTCCACATCATGAGTCAAGTGATCAACAACTGGATGTTACAACTTTTGGAGAAAATGAAGAAGATGTCAGGAAGTCATAGGGGGATGATGGTGTGGTTTGTATTTTAATAAGTTCTGAGCAAATGTATTCTCCTGTCATTTTACCTGTGTTTATTTAATGGAATCACTGCAATAACCAAATTGTATTTTTCTACATTGGCAGAATATCAACACATTTTTGCATACATTTGTCATGGAAACAAAGCTACTGATGCTATCTGACACAGGAAAAAACATATAAATTATCTTTTTTTCATTTGCCTTTATGTGTTTCAAACACATCAGAATCTAAAAGAGTTAAAACACAACTGGTTTGGTTTGGTTCACAGAGACAAACCAGTTTTTGCCTGTTCACCCCAACATCCATTTCTTATTCCCTGAGATGCTAAGACGTTGTGACCCAGGGTATACATTCCTTACATCAGTAGTAGAGCTGTACCAAAGTCCCAGGATTTCTGGTGTGTTTTTTGGGGCCCTTTTGTTCCCCCTGCGGTCCTGCCCCAGTATTTGGCAGCTCATCTGAGGCCCTGGGGGCAGATCTCTTGATGCAGCGCTGACAGATCCGGCTGTTCTGAACCGCAGCGATGATGAGAGTACAGAACAGATGAAAAATTGAAAAAGAGATGAAGAGGGAGTGAGAAAAAAAAGAAAAATGAAAGTGGAGGATGGAGGGAGGGAGAACACCGGAGCGGTGCCTCAGATCTTCAGGGGCCAAAGGCCTCACATAATGTAGGCCCTCTCCTCTGTCCTATCAGCCTCTTCCCCGCTTCACCTCCATTGCTCTGTCACTCAGGACTAGACCATTTCATTTTAATAAGGCTAATCCCTCCTAAAGGTAAGCTGCTCATCACCTCTCATCCTCCCGCCCCTCCAGAAAAGAGCATTCTCCCTTTGAGCTCGAGGACAGGAGGGTTTGCTCTGCTTGATAGGAAAGAAGAATGTGAAAGGTGAGACAGAAAAGAGGCCTTGACAGCAGCTGTGCTCAGATTTAATGAGAGAATTCGGGCCTGACTGGTTTGATAAACTTGCAGGTGGCGCGCTGTTAGTCAAAGTTCTTCCTCTGGGCTCCAACGCAGAGCTGATATGAAGCGCAGAGAGGATGGAAAGTTGCGTGGAGGAAATGCAGTGATCCAGCTGGTATTTTTGTTTATGACATTGCTGTCAGCAGAGAACTTTCTGACTGTTAACAGAGAAACTTCGGCTGTGGAGCCGCCAGCTTCTTTGTCCTTTGTTGGAGCAGGTAGATATTTTGAAAAGAAAAATGTTAATAGTTGAAAATGTAGAATGTGAATGATTCACAGTTTACTGAGACATTTATATCATTTAGAAACAAAAACCAATAACATTCTTTCAAAAACACCTTAATGCAGGGCTCTGGCCCTGTCCACATTTAACAAGATATTTAGTAAAAGAGAGAGTTTCTCATCCCCAATTTTGGTCATAAAGCTTTGAAGTTAGTTTTAAAAGTAGAGAAATTTGTGTATTGTTGTGATCCAAATATCTGAATAACATTCGAAACACTGACATAAAGTCTTGCTTTGCACATGTTCACTCTAGCTGTGAGAACTGCAAAGTAAATATGCAATCCCCTAAATTTAGAAAACATTTCCTCAAGATAAATATGGCATTGCTATGGAAAGGGTTTTGAAATAGTTGATTATAATCTAATGTTTACAGCACAAAAACATGGGAGTTTTAAAGGGGTATGCAGACTTCTGAACAATAATTCATCTCTTTCTGCTTCTGTTTGTTCAGATTGTTTCCTCTATTTCCTAATAAACACTGTTCCTCTGCTTTAGTTTTGTGAGACTCCATTCTTCTGGTTTATATTATTTTTTCCCCCCACAATAGTCTCAGGATGCTGTAACTTTCAGAAGACCTTGACAGGAAATGAAAAGCCAAAAGAACAACTTTGCAAGACCTTGACAAAGAGTGAAGAACAGCTTATCAAGACCAGATGAAGAGCGCATCCTGAGATGTATAAAAACAATGAACTGTTGCTGTTCAGAAGTGTTACATGTTACCAAAGAGAAGACTACAAACCGCTGAGAGCTTTAATTTAGAAAATGAAAAGGAGTCAAGGGGGTAACATTCCACAGCAGTGTCCTGGCCACCTGATCTCTCATGAGGTCAAGGGTCAAATAATGAAACCTACCACCTACCTCACAGAGGCTCCAAGGAGAAACAGCTTGGTGCTTTACAGCAATATGTCAAAAAACTGATGAAATAAGTATAGATGGTTGTAGCAACTAAGTTTTGCTCAGAGGAATGTCTCTCAGTGCGAGAAACACAACCAAGCAGTCCTGCAATCAATTTGTAAGATTATGTTTTTGTTTTTTTTTGTAATGCATCAACTCCCTTGTACTGGCCTGTCTCTGCAGCTGGGCTCCAGCTTGGATGAGCATGTGTTGAATGTGCAGGGTGCCCCCATGTTGGGAGATTTGTGGAAGTGGACCTCCACAAAAAAAAAAAAAAAAAAAAAAGAAGAAGAAAAAAAAACACCCCACCTAACACCCGTCCCAGCAGGAGCTGCTAAGAGGCCAGCCAGGACAATACCAAGGCAATGGCTTAATTCGCCAAGCCAGATTTACAGCTCCTCCTACACAGCACCTGCTTGCTTTGTTTCCCAGGATCTCGCTTGGAAACTTTGAAGAACCGGCGATAAAAATTGAACCCCAGGCAATCCATTCTGTATTGACAGCCCCTTTAGTTACAGATCTCTTTTTTATGTTTGGGAAATCTCTTGGACTTAGATGAAGAAGTCAACTGAGGAAAATCTGACATCATGAATGCCCCTCTCATGCCAGTGGGAGCCGTTGGGTTTATTGCCGACCATTGTCCCGAACATTAAAGAGGCGGCCAGCCAAGCAGCTTTTCTACACATCTCTGCACAAATGTTTTAGCTGGAAAGAATAAAACGGCGCAGGCTGTTACATAAGATTCAGCGCATCAGCCATAAAAACAATAACTAGCCAGTGAGTGTTGGATTGCAGGCGGCGCATTCCTGAGCTGGCCCACAGAGAAAGTGAGAGGCACTCTGAAACAGATTTCCCAGAGAGGTTTGAAGAAGAGACGACTGGAGAGCAGAGGCCCCTTTTGTCACGGGGACCTTGTTGGAGCCTCAGGGGCCATATGGACGCCTGTCTCTGTGCACCCTCACATCAGGCCATTCTTCACCCTCCTCCTCTCTCTGAGCGCTCCGTGACAGGGCCGTCCACGTGAATGAGTCATGGGCAGAGTGAAGCAGGGCCTGGCTCACCGCAGAGCCGTTTCCCTCTCTGCCACCCCCGCGTCCCCAGAGTCTGTGCTTGTGTCGTTCATTGATTCTGTCAACCCTTGTGCTCTCCTTCTTCTTTTGAGCGATCGTGAACACAGTGTGAAAACTTGCCAATAGACAGCTGCCCCTACATTATGCAGAATTTGACCTGCAACCCCCTCGCCTTCTCTGGAGTTTCTTTTCTGACAGGACACCGGCTGTCATTTTGAGACTAAAGGTTTGCTGCTCAGCTTTTTTTTTTTTTTTATCAACATGAAGAAGAAGAAGAAAAACTGAAGGAAACAGAAAACAGACTCAGTAATGTCCAACATCACAGAAGCAGAGAAGATTCAATTCACCTTGAGAAAAGTCATGGCTGCTGTGATAAATCATCTGCCTCTCTGTAGATGATGCACTTGATACAAATAGGCTCAAAGTTACTCATATATATTTATGATAGAAAATGACAATCATCCCCCTGAAGAGAGGCACCTTGAGAGAAATAATGTCTGTTTTTATACATAGATAAACATAAAACAGAGTATTATTTAAGAAAATTAAAAAATAAAATACTATTTATGAGAATAACCTCACACAAGAATGAAATCAGAATATTCGGGAGGTGAAGAAATGGCTTAGAAAGTTTATTAAAAACATGTACCGTAATTTATTGAAGAACAGAAAAACTACACTTTAATGTTTAATTGGAAAAAACTTTAACATTGCAAAAGAATCTCCAATTAAAAATAGTCCTTGAAGTTAGCTTCCCAACCGATAAACAGAGGTTTTTCAAAGCTCATATGAAACAAAGGCATCACAATTTGTAAATAAATATGAGACATAAAGCTAACCAGAGGAAACAGTTTTACATCTAAATAAAATATAGATGTAAAAAAAAAGTTATGGTTATTTACAGAAAAAACAATAAAATGCAAACTTTGACATTTAGGGGTAAGAGACAAAATCTCTATACAAAATATCATAACTGGACAAAAATCAGACAAACAAACAAGCATCTGCTTTGTAGATAAAAAATATTTGTGTAAATATTCATGAATGTGGGTGATGTTAGATATTCTGCCTCTCTGACTCTACAGCAATGGGCCACAAGCCCATGTCCTGTAAGAGTTGTTCCTCTAGTATCAGGTCGTCGCTATACTCCGTTAAGTCCAGACGCTGAATTTCCTTTGGGGGCGTCTCTGGTTTTTCAGGTTCCTGGAGACACAAGAAGATTTGAAATACAGTCAATCAAGTTCATTTCTATAGCACATTTCAGCAACGAGGCAGTGGCCTTACATACACAGATCTACATTAAGATGTTACCGGGTGACTCTGAACCCATCCGGTCACTGAATAAATGCTTAGAAAAGATAAATGTGTGGATGTGCCACAACTTCCTCCAACTGAACACAAACAAAACTGAAGTTACTGGACCTAAAGAGTTACGACCTAGAATCAACGCACGGCTTCGGTAGTGATGCACTCTGACCTGAACAGTCAGAGACACATAAAGACAGTTACAACGTTGGCCTTCCATCACCTCAAGAATAAAATCTGATTGATTGATTCATATCTCCCCAAACAGACCAGAGATTCCAGTCAGACAAACTGCAGTTTGTTTAAAGCATACCAAGTGTGGTTGGGTGTGAATGCACACTTACATATACATTTTCTGCAAAACCTTTATGCTAATTATCAAATATCATTCGGGTACTTAGTTATTGTTCTGCTGGCAGAAAACCAAACTATTCAACTACTATGTTTCCTCCCTTTCTCTCCAAATATGCACATATTAAAAAAAACCTCAAGAAGCAATAAATATGGAAGTTAACTACCAGCTCTCCTTTGGTAGAGAAACAAACATTACCTGCCTTCATACTGCAGCTGCTTTCCAGCCTGAGATGGAAACACTTAGCCCCTAATAGATTTAGCCTACATAGTTGGCAAAGAGCTTGCCAGACGCTGCCTGGTAATACGTACACTATACTCTGTGGTCAGTGTCAAATAACATGAAGGATGAATTAAACATGAGGCTAGGAAAAAAGAAGAGACACTGATAAAAATGCAGACACACAAAGAGGGCCAGGCTGCAGCCTCTTTTTTCCCGAGTGTACATAAACTGACAAATGTTTTATTTGACTTAAATACATTTAAATGTTGCTCAACAATGTTGTTGGAGAGCAGCTTGGAATCTTGGATAATATGCTTTTTCAAACAGCTAAAAATCTAATCTTGTTAGCAGCCTTCTTTGTTCAGATTTCTGCACAAATGACAAAAACTGCTCAGGAAAAAAAAAACATGTCTTACCATTTTCAGTTTCATCTGGAGTTCTTCCTCCTCCTTTATATGTTTAGTCCAGAACTCTTCCCTCTTCAAATAGTCCTTCAAACTCTCTACTTCAAGATCAAAGTATTTCTTCATGCTTAAACTCTGCAAATAACCCCCCCAAAAAATCAGATTTACTTCAATAGTTTTACATTCTTTTAAGTTGTGACCAATAACTGCTGTGCATTTTATTGGGATTGTATGTGATGGACCAACACAAATTATAGCACAATTGTGATGCTAAAGAAAAAGGACAAAATAATCCTGTCACATCCGTGTTTTATGCTAATGTTTCATGCTACTTTTCTTCCACAGGTTTTTTTTTTTTTAAGTCAGGTTTCCAACCACAGGTTCTAATTTGACATTTCTGCTGTGTTCCCAACATAACTTGTGTCAAACATTCATGTTAGCTTAGGTTTTGGGAAGTTTAGTTAGAATTGTGTCATCCTCTTGTGGAGAATTGAATTGTACAGTAGATTGTTCCAAGCTTAGGTTTATATCCTAAACTTCTTCAGAACTTTATTCCTATCCATCTGCTGTGTTCCTTGATCCTTTATGATGCTGTTTGGTCACTAATGTTCTCTGACACATCTCAGATCTTCACAGAGCAGCTGTATTTAGGAGATTAAACTACTCACAGGTGGGCTCTGTTTCCTAATTAGAGGACTGCGGAAGCAATTGATTGCACTTGAGTTTAATTATTGATATCAGAGTAGAAGGGGCTGAGTACATGAGAATTTTATTCTTCACACATTTTCCTTCAATTTCAAAATCATGTGCTATTGTTCACAGGATCCAGTCAAAAAAGACAATGAAACACATGAGGTTTTGTGTTTGTAAAAGTGCAAACTGTAAAAAAAAATGTCAAATGGAAATGAATACTTTTACATGGCTATGGTTAGGGTTAGGTAAACAATTAAAAGCTGAAATTAGAACATGTCATGAGAAAGGTTTCTCAAACTTAGTATTACAAATTTTTTGAACAAACAAACCAGTCTAGCTGTGCCGCCTCACCTCATGCCTGGAAGGAAGATAGAGGATCTTTGGTATTTCAAAAATACGAAGAACCCCAAGATCATCTGCAACAGCCAGGAAGTGCTGCTTGGCTGGAGGCAGAGAACAATTTAAATAAGCAGCCTGCTGACTTACTGACCTCAGAGATACACTTTGAGAAAATAAGCAAAACATTTAGAGGTGTAATGTGACAACAGCAGTAGAAATAGTTTTCAGCGGTGAAAAATATCTTTAAATAGTCACTTTGAAAAAGTGCATGTCAACACAGGTAGGATGTAAATAGTAGTTGAGAAACGCACAAATTAGCTTTCATTTGATCATTTCTGTCATTCATGCCATGGGACCCTCTGCTTACAGCCTTCCCCTTTCTCTCTGTGATACTACAGCTTCTCCCCATCAGCAGAGTCTGTTATGAATGTCCAAGCATGCACACAAGCATGATTGACAGTTATGAGGTCCTCCTCCAGCTATGAGGTGGACGAGCTTTACTGTTTCTGAGATTAACTATCTCATATTATACTGTCACAACATCATGTCAGTTTCAACAAGTATGTAAAAAAACAAATATCTTTTTAAGAAAAGTTACATGTACAAGTTTTAATATAACCGGAAACGCATGTGTTTTCTCACCCGTGAAATTGCAGGCTTTCATGCAGGTAATCTTGCTTTTGCTGATATGAGGGTGGAGCTGTAGTGGTTCGCTGCTGTTTTTTAGGAGGTCCCATATTTCAACACTGCCATCTGTTTTTCCAATGAAGAAAACAGCCGGTCGGGACAGCGACCAGCATCCCGCTGTGCACTCCTGCTCAAAGTATTGCGATGAAACCAGTGGGCCGTCCTGCATGCAGCAGTTTCAGGGAAAAAGTGAATCCAACTTTATAGATTTTAACAGCAGATCTAAAGGTAGTTTTTGGTCACCTGTATGCTCCAAAATCCCTCTGTCAAATGCCTAAATGATGTTTAGTGGTTTAGAGTAAATTGGGGAAACAAATTACTGTAGATATGTAACATACAATAAGTTAAATGAAGTTAAGTAGCCAATATTTATGTTACACAAAACATTTTAGAATATGTTACTTTTCAAGGTGCTGCCACTGAAAGAAACATTAACTTTCCCTCCAGAGTCAATCTGTAAAGTGGATGTGGACTGAAATTGTTTATCATCGGAAAAGCCCATTATAAATATCGAAGCGAAATATTGTTTTATAGCTTAACTGTGCTTTAACCTTCTGTCTTTTGCACCCTTTCCCGTGCTGTTTTTGTTGCCATTATTCTGGAGGTATTTTAAGAATGAATTACACACGAGTCGATTCTAGCTGATACCCCCAGTTTTTATTTGGGGGTATCAGAGCAGAAATGGCACATGCTCACCACATTCTGCAGATTATAATCTCAATAAAACACACAAAGAATTGTTCTTCTAACTTGACAAAATTTCAAGAGGTGTGAATCCTTCTGTAAGTGATTATTCATTAAATCAAGATTTCCCCTCCTGTTAAATATAACCTCGTATGGTGCATGTCTGTACTCTGGGCACAAAATTTATGCTCAGTGGTCTTGTTTTTAGTGTAGTTACCATGACTCCCTCTTTCCAAATGGCAAAGTTCCAGCCTCCTGTTGTCAAAAGAATGTCTTTGAAGAATGGAGATCGCTCCAGTGTGTTCACCAGCCAATGATGGCTGTTGAAACACGCGAAGGGTTTGGAACCTGGGAGCGCAGCAGCACATTATGAGAAAAGGCATGTTTTCCTTGGCAGAATACTGATTGTGATTTCCAGTCTCCGTCACAACAAATGATGAAGACAAGTCAAACTTCTGCAATCCTATACATTTCCTGAGGGTAATTAAATTTAGCATGGCTGCCAAAAGATAAGAGTGATTTAAGAGGGATATAGGTGTCAGATTTATTGTTATGAAACTGAAAAACAAAAGTTTAATAGTTCAGTTTATTGTGATGAATGTCTTGGTTTGATAAGAAAGTGCTTACACATGGTAAAGAATCTATTGTTTAGGCCCCTTTTAAACAACCTAGAAATATGGCAGCACTCACTGTGCGGGCGCCCAGAGTCGTCGCTTTCCATTTTCCAGTCGGAGTAAACGATCTCTCCATTCTGGCAGTGAAAACGTGACGGGTTATATAAGATTCATCACAGAATAAACCTACACATTCCTGACGGCTTTTTAACCGTTCAAAGCCAATGGTTTTTGAAGTTTCACCTCTGTCCCAACAAAAAACTTGGTATTGATGCTGTCCATCTCCCTCAGTTTTTCAGATGCAGGTAACATGAGTTGGCTGTAGTCAGGAAGGTCCTCTGTCCCCTTAATTTCTTTATCCTTTTCTGAGTGGGAAAACAAGGTTAAGGAGTGAAACACTATTCTACCAACAACACAGAAACAACACAGAAAGAAGAGGAACAGTTTGAGTCAGTGGTTTATTCTTAATGTAAGGAGATAACAAAGATCGGATTGATGCCGTCTGCATTATACTCTCACCATTAACGACATGATGAGAGGACAAAAGGGGGGAAGATAAGGAGAGGTGCATCTGCTGAGTGGGGTGAGAAAAGAGTAAGAGGAATGAGGAAAAAAGCTGGGGGGGAAAAAAAGGGACTAGCTAGGGGAGAATACAACCAAATGTTTTTTGTTAAGGAAAAAAGTTATCCAAAGCAGCCTTTCCCTCATTCATTTTAATCATCATAATAAGAGTAAAAATAACTAACTTTTAGAAACTTCTTTAAACCACTATCTGGCCAAAGGACTGAGATTTTTGATGACCTTACTGGTCAGAAAATTGTTCAAGCCAGAAAATCAGCTTCTTTTGCTCAGCAGCTGATTTCTTGGTGCATTTCTGTTGCACATTTTCTGAATTCATTTCTCCATTTAAAAATGTGTGAAGAAAACAGTAAGACTATGTTGCAGAAATTGATTCAGTGCTGTCCAAGGACATGGCTGTTTAATTGTTACACAGTGACCGTGAAGCCTGCTGATAATAACGTGGCGTGTAAAATCATGCAAAGTCTATGTGTTGTGCTACAAATGACAGTTAAATGGCTCCACTTTTAGAAATAGCAGTGGTAGCAAAACGATGAACACTGGAGTCAACACAAAGTCTTGTCAGTGAGATAGGCAAACTCCTTAAGCTGAACCAAAATATTCATTATATTCATTAAAATCTTAATTGGTGAGTGCTTGGGTTAAGTAAAAAAAAGATGGGCTTGCAGCAAATTAACTCCCCAACCAGCCAGTTACCAAAGTGGTGTTTATGGAGCCGGACCTTCGGCCAGACAAAGGCCGGTCTCTTCTTGACCAGCATGGACACATTCAACCTTCCTCAAGCTTTCTGAGCAAGATATTACAAAGAGCTGACAGTGAGCAAGGTCAGTGCTTTGCTTCCAGAAATTAGTTTGTTTTGGAAAAAAAAATATACTCTTATTAGAGTGGTGGGAAACTCTAGGAAGACAGCCTCACTGTGCACATCAATAAAATCAGCTTTTCAAACCAAAACTAAACAAAATTTTTGTAAAAGGGTATTATGTGTTTTATAGCACAATCAAGAAATCATGTTTGGCTGTTTTAAAATTCTATACATAACAAATATGACCTACAAGAAGTTTCACTTCATAATTTAAAGCCTGGAAATTGGATCTCTGTCTCTTTAAAAACTGCTGCTTTTTCCAAAGCTCAGCCTTCAGGAAGTCATCACAACGTGGCTCCTCTATTAATCCTTAAATGATGTTTTGACCAGCGTTGCTCTGAGAACTAGCTCATCCAATGAGCTCAGCGGATGCACAGCACGTAAACAGCAGGTGTTTGCTAATTTCGGATGGCTAGTCTGAAGGAGCTAAGTGAGAAAATTTGCTGAATTTGCTGGAGTTTGAAAATTGTAGGACCGTGGAGGAGCTGCACCTCGAAGGCGTCGCTAAGTCCAATCAGGAATTTTGAATAACTAAATGGTTGCCATAGGAGATGAAAGGATTTCTCAAAAATGCATGAAAAAAATCAAAGCAACACTCCAGTTATGTTTTTCATTAGGGAAAAGCATTATAACACATCATAAAGTTAAAAAAAGTTCATTTTATACAATAGTACCCCTTCAAATAAATGTGAAATTTGTAACATTTCTAAATTTCTATTGCAAAAGTATTAAAGTTAATATAAAAATGAAATGTCTCTCCTTTGGTCCTACCTGTAGGAGCGATGAAATTTTCAAAGCTGAACTTCATAGGAACATATTCTCCTTTGGTATCAATCTTCGACAGTGAAATCTGACAAATGACACAAGATTAAAGATCCATGATTCTGCTTCATTCTATTACCTTTCATATTTCAATTCCTTATGGAATAGAATGTATATTAAAGTTGTCTTAGGTTCTACAAATCACAAATTCCCAAAGCTAAATTACTTTGAACATTGGTTTCCATATCCTGTCAAGGTGTTTGAAAGTTTCAGGAACGCTACAGGTCGTCATCGGCGTCTTCTGGTCGACAGTCGACGTACTTTCTGAAGGTGTGTTCGTAAACACAGCTGGAAGTCTCACGTCCCAAAAACGAAGAGAGCTATGGAGCAAAATGAGGTGAAAAGGTCAAACCTGGAAACGAACGAAAACTTCAAATCAGACGTTCAAATTCAAACACACACACACACACACACACTGAGTCGGTGCCTTGAGTTCCTTTAAATCTATCTTTCAAACTTTTTGTGTTTTTCAAAAGATGGACAATGCCTACCAGTCAGGGGAGCAGGTGATAATCTGAACCGAGACCTTCTGCTTGTTCTCCACTGGTAAGCCAAACATAGTAACCTTATCAGAGAAAAAGTTACAAAATCACTGCACGCTTAATACAAACTAAATAAAATGCAAATAGTAACTATCAGAATTTCATTTGTAAGAAAATGTGAAAGATCATGCATTCTTTTCCTCCTGTTTCACAATGATGCTTTCTGTTTGTCTAAAATAGTAATTCATCAAAAAGGAAACAGATGTTTGACAATGTGAAAAAGTTACTATTTTGGACTGCAAAGTAGGATGTTAACCTTCCCCTGTGGGAACATTGATGTTTACATTTTCTATCCATCTTGATGAATACAGGACGTGAAAATGATTTATGACGATCCTCTACAGAGGGGAGGAGAAGGCGCCAACAGGAAAAAAGAAACTGCAAGGCGCATGCCAACACTTTAATAAATGCTCTTTTTTGTCATCTTGCTAGTAAGCAGTATATCCAGAACTGACTTTGAGGAACAGTCTTTATTTTCTCCATAAATCTCTATGTGCACTTACATAAACAATGACTCTTTAGAAGTTACATTTGGTCTATTATTTACATTAAATATAGTCCTATATTCGCACAAAAAGAACACCCTTTTCATCAAGAGGACATTTTCTACTTACTAACATTACTCTAGTTTATAACATGTCGTTATTTCAAAGTTGCCTCTAATTCTTCAACGTTTAACTTCTCTGTACCTCGAATGTTGACGGCAGCCACTGCACATCAGTAACTGGGGCTTTGTGGCTGCTCTCTAAGGCTGACACCGCACAGAATCGCACAACAGGAATATTTTCTTTGCTGGCGTTGAGGTCCTGGAGAGACGGCAAACACAAAAAGACACTGTACAGTAAAATCAGACCAATCAATCAAATCAGGCAGATTGTATTCAGCACAAAAGCCGTTCAAAATTGTTCAGCGGGATATCAAAATACACAAAAGTCCAAAGAATTCAAATTTAATCCACATACATGATGAATGTTGCTTTTCTTTTTTTTTTTTTTTTTGCTATGATACCAATATGTGTAGTATGCAAAGGAAAACAATCATTCCACATGCAGCCTTCATAATAAAGAAACAAGTTAAACCAAAGTGATTTATCTGGAAGGCCGTTAACAGATATATGTACATGTTCCATAGATCCCAACATTCAAATTAAGTCCTTTTAACTGGCACAACTGCTATTGTTTACTCTGCAAACAGCAGAGAGAAAAGTGATCTGATTTACTAGAACGTTATCTTGCATAAGGGGACAAACCACAGTGGTAGATGGGGAGTGGTGTAACAGCTGGCACTATTCTGTGTTGACTCAAGAGAATTAAGGGCAAACAAAGATAGAGAAAGGGAGAAGGATGATAGGGGAGGAGTAAAGGAGAATAAAGCAGAGAAGAGAGGGATGGAGACAGCTGTTCCACTGTAGAGACCCTAAAAACACACAAAGTAAATGTGGGGACCAGGTATATGTGTCTGTTTAAATACAGCAGCATCAGTGCAGTTAGCCAAAACTGACTAAGTTGGACTCATTTCCAGCTACAGTGAAACATTTATGGATGGTAAAAATCTGCTCCAAGCCACAAAAGCACTGCTATTAATTGCTAAGAAAATGTATGTTAATGGATTTAGCCTTAGAAAAGTGGAAATAAAAAAAAGTTTAAATTTTTATCTCAATATTCCGGCATTTGGCAAATTCCATACGTATTTGTACTTACAAACTTGTCCTGATCCATTGATTCCTTTCTACTGCCGGGCTGCGTTGGCTGTATGTAGGCGACATGAGCAGAGATGTCCCACAACAAAATCTGAAACACGAGTTAACGAACAAAATCAGTCAGAAGAGGGCAAAACCTGAGCATGGAATATAACACTGAAATGAAAGTAGTATTTCACAGTGGGCTAAAGAGCAGACCTGTGTGAAGAAAGAAACTTTTCAGAGTATGAGAGGCAGGAAAGGTGGTACAGTAAAAAAAATAAATAAATAAAATAAAATAAATCACCTGGCCATTGAAACAGCCCCCAACAATAATATTTGGATTAGAGGGAGAGAACTGGAATGCAAGAATGTCGTCTGGGCATTCAAGGAGAAACTGTAAAAAAGATAATAAAAAGAGAAAGACAGAAATAAAATGTACTACATACAAAACATAAACACCGCATTCCACAGAAACCTATGTACAGTACATTGCAAAAGTATTCATATACTTTGAATTTCTCCACATTCTGTCACTTTACAGTTTAAAAGGTTAATGTACTTCATTATATGGCCATGGTAACGATGTAGGAGCTGCAGAGATCCAAAATCTCAAGAAGAGAAAATGTGTTAACAGGAAACCACAAGAATGGCCTTTATGGAAGAGGAGCCTGAAAATAGCCAGACAATAGAAGTCCTGTAAGCAATTTGCCACATTCCAAGTACACAACGTAGCAAACCTTCGGTTTGTCTGGTCAGATGAGATAAAAATGATATTTTTTGGAATATTTTTCTTCATCAGGGACAGGGAATGTGGTCAGAGTCTACGGGAGGATTGATGAAGCTAAACGAGGGCAATCCTGCAGAGAGGCTGTAAAAGTCTTAAGATTTACCACCAGAGCTACAACTGAACAGCTTAAATAATAGCAAATGTATGTATTTGAATGTCCTAGTCAAAGTCCAGAATCTAATTGGGCACCTGTGGAAAGGTTGGAGTTATTCTCCAACCTTTCCACAGGTGCCCTTTCAGTCTTTTTGAGCTTGAGCAGTTTTCCAGAGAAGAATATGCAACGGTTCTAGGCTCCTAATGTAAAATAGAGGATAGAGGATTATGAATACTTTTACAAGGCAGATTCAGATATCATGTGAGTTTCTATTCACTGCAGTTTTCCATCTTGTCTGTTAATGCAAGGTTCATCTTACAATACAACAATCCATTAGCATCAACTGCATTTCATCAGATATGCGTATAAAGTTCCACACACCCCCACTTTAGCCAATGAAGCAATGGGTGACTCAAGCTCCAGAGAAGATTTACATCACGTAGAAGTGATATTACATTACTTTAACTGCTCACATTTATTGACTGGGAGCCTATACGCAAATCAATAGGCGCTCTCAAATTTTCCTACAGCAAACAATAGTCCTAAATGACAAATTCCTTCCTTTTACTGGAATGAACTGCAAAAGTGCAATTAATTCCAGCTGTTTGTCCTAAAAGCTTTTCTCCAAGACATGTGCAAGAGATTTCTTTACTTGTGTGTTGGAGGGTTTTCTTGTTTGCTTGTCACACCTGGGCATTAGAGGGGTTGGAGAAGCTGTAGAAGACAATGAGAGGAGGACCGGAGGCTGACTCTGCAAGCTCCCCAGGTCTTTTTGTCAAGGCCACAGCGATTACACCTGTAGCACACAGACACACAAAAATAATTATGTTGTCAACCATCAACATAATTGAAGCTCATCTTTGCATTATTTTTCTGTTCTAGATGGGAAAACAAATGTGTTGCACTTTACCGTTTATTGTAGGGTGCCAGTTGAGGCAACTAATTGTTTTGTTTTTGGCGGACTTCTGATCTGTGAAGACCTGATGGAGCACCAGAGTGTCAGACACCTGGCCTGACCAGTCACAGGTTTCAAGCCCCGTCATCAGAGCCTTCCAGTCATCCACAAACACGTTTATGATCTCTTCCTGCTGCAGGGCAAACAACATCCTAAAAACAAAAAGCAATACAACTGACTGTGCTGATAGGCAATTGTATGCAATGTCACTGTAATGGGTGGGAGTCTAGTTGGTTGAGTCTGATTGGACGGGAAAACAACCAATCAAAACCATTTTTTTTTTACCTGGGAATCTGTATGTTACAAAAATCTATCAGGTCGTGTTTTTTTAGAATTATTTCCTTTTCCTCAGTGCTGAACTCTCTTGGTTCATACTGTGTGAAGGTGTCCTTTGGAACCATCCTGCAAAGCATAAGTTGATAAGAAATATGTTGTTGTTCCAGGTAGACTTCTTTCAATTTGTTTCCGACTCAAAGGCCAGAACCCATCAGTCTTTTTGTGCTGATTAAATCTGTTTTAAGCACCAAGGTTCATCACACTGTACCTCATTGTCTGGCAACTGCTGGTGTGTAGCATGGGGATAGCCTGCACTGCACAATCAGTCAGCAGTTTCTTGATCTTGAATTTACTGTCTTCATAAGAAGTACACTCCAAGTGGCTATCCTTTGACTCTGCATAGTCGCGGTCTGAAAAGCAGACCTTCGATTGAGCTGCCCGGTCCACTCTTAATTTGAGCCTCAGCTGATGAGGACAAGAAGACAAAATAAATAGAATAGCAGCAGCAAATGTATTTCATTTAACTTTACTCTGCATATGTGTTTTTTATTATTGTGGTATGCCTTTTCTCTCGTCTCCTTGATAGGTTCTTCTATTTCCTTATCGCTACCAAGAGAAATCCAAACTCTTGGTCTTTTGTCAGCCTCAAGCTGCTCTTCAACCTCTGGGGTCTGGATGACAGAGACAGAATGAGAAAACAAATGTTTTATAAAATTTATTAACTCGTTCTGTAGTAGTAGATTTTGAGTGACAAGGTTTTGGAAATTAAAGTTGAAGTTCTTAAGAGTTTTATGCTAAATTACATAATGCGCCAAAAATATATCGTATATGAAATATTTTTGTTATAGAAAGCCAAACATTGAAATTTTTGAACATGTAATGAAAATAATAATAATAAAAAAAACCCTGCATGCTCACCTTCAGTATTCGTTCCTTGCTTTCTGGTAACAGAACCAAGTAGAAGCACTGGCCGTAAGTGAGGTTTGAATCAAAAACCAACAACATCTCTTCCTCTGGGTATTCCTGTTCAGAACAATGAGACCAAGTTCACACTAAGACGTGCAAAGACATCAATGAAGTGCAGGAGTTAGATTCTAAACATGAAAAAGATAATCACGCCTGTTGAGTTGGCATCAGCCCCTGAGGAGGCGCTAGCAACTAATAAGAGAAATGTGCTAAAAGGGATTCTGGCAAAATATGAGCGAGCTCCAACCAGCTCCTTTGCCCACACAACCCTTGTTTTATGATCCATGTATTGTCATAGCAGCTTTATCTGGAAGAATCTTACAAGAACTTTTTGTTTTGCTGGGCTGAAATCAGAAATTGCAGCTCTTTTCTTCATGTCGCTTATGATGTCGTCTTTCTTGAGCAGTTTGTAAGGGTTCTTCTCTGTGACGTCTTCATCAATACGGCAGCTGAAGAGCTCCTGGGTGGCAGACGTCAGGACCAGGGGGAAGATATCCTCTGGGTAATCTGGAGGAGAAAATTACAGAATCGTCTTTTTTAAATCTCATTCTCTTGAAAGTTTGTTGTTGTTCACAAACCTGTAATAAAACAATTGAAAACAATCCAAGTGAGAGGATATAAAGCATATAAACTGAGCACATCTAATATTCAGATACATTTTCACAAATATATATATTTCAAAAATGTAATTTCTGTGCCTTATTTTTTGCATTGTGAACTTGATATTGAAAACAAACACTCATATGATCTCTTGGTTCAGATTACATGTAATGGGTTAAATTGGAATTACAATGTTGAGGGCTTGAGTTTCCTTTATCCTTTTCTTGAGCATTTACCAAAATTTGTGTTCTGTGGAAACAACGTACAGAATGGTGTGAGCCTAGTCTACACACTTCTCCAAAATGAGCCATTGTCTGGAGAAAGTAAGAACGATTCCCTGACCTGCTTATTCTAAAAGAGTGCTAAACAAAACCCAAATGAATGAGCTGTGTTTCTTTGTTTTCACAGGTTTTATGTGTTGAGGAAGTCTTTCCTCCACAGAAATCAGAACCACCCACATGGAGAGTTAGACCTAAAAAACACAAGGGCTCTGGTTTTATTTATTAAGTGGTGATGATGGTCAACTTTAAAATTTCATACAAACAAGATTCAGCTCCGAAACCCTGAAAGCCTGCAGTGGTAAAGAAGAACAAACTTTGGAGCATGTTAGTTCAAATGTCTTATGGGTCCTTACTAAGTCACAGCAACATGACAGATAAGTCAGAAATTATAAATAAGAAGTGAAAGAAAATGACAGTAAAATATGGAGATTAAAAGCAAATAGAGCATTTGTTCTCATTGTGTAAAATACACAAAGGAACAATTTTCTCTCATGTTTCATATCAAATCCACATATTGTGCACTTGCCCTTCCCCAAACATCACAGGCCAGCAAGCAACCATTGTAATTAGCTGACTTATCCAGCTATTACTGCGAAACACTGTCACCTGTAATAACACTGTTACCTTATGTTAAAATACTGTTGAATGACTACTGGAAGTCTTTTTTAGCTGTTGTGATTGTTTTTATTTCACACTTTAGATGTCTCAGTATACTCCTCCATATCTCAGCTGTGTCTCAGTCAAGGGAGCACAAAAGTAAACAGGACTCTGCATAATAACAGTTTTCCTCCTCCTTGCGGTCCCTCTCTCTTCAAAGTCTTTCCACAAGGTTGCTGAGAGGATGGGGGAATGCTGAAGTAAAGCTAGAGTAACCACTTCCCAGCTGGGTGTGTCGGCCTCTTCCACTCACACCACTCAGGCTTCATGCCAAATCATTGTAGTGGAAACTCACACCCCTAATTTCAGAAAGATATGTGACAGCCATGGTATTTGTGTTCACAGAGAATGTTTGTTTATGAGAAAAAAAAATGTATGATGTACAATGTTCCTTTCACCCCAAGAATACATACAATTAAATTGCATTTGTTGTCTGCTGCTGAAAATGATTCTAAATTAGGCCTTTCTTTTCTTGCTTAATTCACAAAAGGCTTGCCAGCACACACTGCATTTACATCAATCTCTATGTTTCTCGGGAATTAGAACCTGAATCTAAGCATTTCTATTGTGTTTAAGTGACCAAGGGTGTGTTGTTGGAAATGTATTCTTATTAATGACATTTTCTTAAACTTTGTCACATTACAATCTTTAACTGTATTATTGGGATTTTATGGGGCACAACTTGAAAATCGAAGTTCATAATTGTGACAATGGCAGGAACAGAAAAATATTAAACTGTGGCTTCTTTCTATCTTTATTGACCAGCCCTTTTGTTAATTGATTTGTAGCTTTATATTTTTTTTCGAGAATTTTTCCATCCATCCTTCCAATCTTCTCTGTTGCGGCTGAAAAAAAGGATGATAATAGCAACAGATAAAGTTCAAGGGCTTTGGTTGCTTTTACAAGGGACATTGCTTGGAGTAAACAAAACATAACTGTGTGGGAAGGCCTTTATTGTAGCTGATCAGATCTTTAAAAGTTAGCACATGTAAGATTAACCACTGAATTGACTCGGGTTTAGGTTAAGTACAAGAGTAAAGTTAAGGCTTGGCTAACTTTACTCTTGCAAATGTGTGAAAGTTTTAAAAAGCAAATCAGTATAGATCTGTTTCTGAGAAAGAAATGGAATTTGCTAAAAACTGATTTCAAGGAAAAGCAGAAAATCGAAATATAATAAAGAAAACAGTTGATGATTTATTTAGGGAATTAAAAAGGATGAATGCAAGACTAAACTATCAGATGTGTCAAGAGATCAATTGTTTTATAAATATAAAAGACAACAAATGTTTTGTGAGCTTAATAGCAAATGCGTTTTCCAAACTTCAATACAGAAGTAATAAAATTACATCTGGTTTTTTATTTTGCTGCAAAAATTACAAGCGTACCAAAGTTATCTTACCTGAACTTGCACGTGTAGAAGGCCGACTGGACTTGCCTTAAATAAAAATAATTCCTCCCATTAGAAATTTTAAAAGAGTAAATATACATATTGTCATATTCAATAATATTACATAATATCTTCTGATTTAGTGCCTTATAACATGAATAATAGCAATCTTTAAGCAGATATTCAATATCATCATCATCAAATTAAACTCTCACCTTTCCCTTTCCCTTTTCCTTTTCCTTTACTTTGTGATCTTTTCTTTGCCTTAGGAGCCATTCTCCTTCTTTGGATCAACAGGTTCACTGAGGATAAAATGACATCTATCCAAAAGAGGCAGAGATTCAATCAACCATTTTGAAAATCACTGTCTATTTATGACTGGAACTTGACTTCAGTCAGCAGGATTATGAACAAAATCAGTGTATACGCTGACATCTTGTGGAGAATACATGAATTGCAATGAGTTTAAGTTTCAATTAAATCAATGCAGGAATAAAGTACATCAAGGTTCCTTATTGGTTAGAAAACTGTAGAATAAACTGTAAAATAAATATTTTCAGAGGGTTGACAAAACAATATTATGCTCAATAGTACGTTAATATATTTTTATTAGTTGCTTTTGGCCTTGAATAATAAACAGTCAATAAATGAATACATGCTCTTTCTAAGAAATAAAACTTAAATAAGGAGTCAGAGGCGGTTCTTGGAAAGCGAGGTATTAAAAATTTGTATCCTAAAACCAGGAAAAAGCTTTTATGAAGCGATTTATAAAAATCTTAATTCTTCTGTCGGGATTCTGTGTGTAGTGTTCAACTCTTTATCGTGTTTAAAATCAACTCCGATGAGCTACTTTTAATAGATACGGATTTATAACTGCTCTTTGCTCACAAACATTTGCAACCTAACAAAAGCACCTGCAGCTTGAGACAAAGTATTGAACCGCTGTGCTCACCAGGATGCGACTGCAGCAAATTACCGAGAATAAACTTCCTTCAGCTGCTGATGCTGGTGATGAAAACAGAGATTCAGAATAAATAACTCTCACCGCTGGTTTTGTATTGAACTCCTGCTCGTCAGTTGTGGACTGTTTGGTTGCCAAGGGTTACAAAAGAGGGCGGAGAAACGCGTTGACCGAGTGCTGCACGAGCCAATCAAGTCCCGGCTTTACAGTGACGTCAAGGCACTGTTATAGATTTACCTGGGCAAGCTTGAATTTATAATCACTGGAGATAAATCATCTGTAGTCATGAGTCCGACACCAAACCGGGTTTCCCTGTAAGATGATTGTTTCTGTTTGAACGAAGCTTAATGAAGTTCGTGTGAACTGCAATCGGTGCTTCAGGAAACATTAGTAAGTAAAAGGTTTATTACTTATGTTTGGGAATATTACACGTATCCTTTTTTTTTTCTTTTTCTTGGACGCTTATTTCTAAACGAGAAAACGGCGCATTAGCGGCAGAATCGGCCCAGATATCTGGAAACTGGAATGAATGATTCATGAATGATTCATGAATCATTCATGAATCATTCATGAATCATTCATGTTCAGACGCACCTGATCTCACGTCCCTCGTTCATCCCTTATGGGAGAATCACAGATACTTAGAACAACGGGGTGATAATACGCCAAGTTTTGTCAAATCAATTCTTTACTCTTCTCGTCAGAAGCGAACTTATTTCCTGGTTATTTCCAGGGTAAAGCGCCTTGCGAAAGTATTCAGATCCTTTACTTTAACCTCTTCTCATTTTGTGCCACCACAACAGCGAGCTTCACTGTACTCCATTATGATTTCGCACATTGAAGAGGTGAAAGAAACATTGTTAACATTAGAAAAAGTAGGCATATCTGACGTCATACGCCTAAACACATTCAATTCCTCCAAATGTTTTCATTCAGAAGTGACATGATTAGAGTTTGCAAATTTTGTGGATTTAAGGCTTGCAATAAATCTCATTTTGATTTGAATCACATATCCTGCATGACACTGCCACTACCATGCATTCCTGTTAGAAATAGCAAAAGTGGCTTCTTTTGGATTTGTTTGATCAAGAACATTGTTGATGTCACTCATCCAAAAGTAAAACTCTTTATGTCTGGAGTCTGATTACAAGTCTTTCTTGCAGTTCGGGCTACACAATATTAGAACAATGAAATTCTGATATTATTGATGCATATGGTAGTAATGTAATGATATTGGTTGTTATTAACCCACATTTTTAGCACTCTATTTTTATTTTTTCAGTCTAACTTACTTATGGGCATAAAATGCATTAAAACTTCAACTACCTGGACAAATTTGTCTACATATTGGCCTTGAGAGTTTCAAGAAATTTAACCTGAAATATTCCAAGGAGTTGTTTGGGAGTTTAACTTATAAACATTTTGATGATGCTTCTGATTCAGCATATTGTGCAGCTCTAAAACTGTTTTCTGTTTCACTTTGTTTATTACCTGAGCTGACATTTTGCTTCACATTTTTGTTATTGTCTGCTCTACATAGGCTTATTGCGTCTTGCTTATTTGATCACCATTTTTAGGCGCTGCAGTCTACTGCCCTTCCAGGGGGGAAAAAATCAGAGTAAATTCAGACATGGAAGAGTCCAGGGAGACTTATGATGTCTATGAGACGAACTGTCCCATTTCGTGGGAAGACCACCAGTGTCAGAGCGTGGAGGAGAGAACTGAATGCCTCCGAAGGAAGATCAAGTACTACTTCATGAATCCGTGTGAGAAATACCACGCGCGGGGACGGAAACCTTGGAAACTCACGCTGCAGATCGTCAAAATTGCCATAATTACCTTGCAGGTTTGTAGATGCAATCAGATGCAATCAGAAGAATGACACTTCATCTGAAATGATTTTTGGTCTTTGCAGCTGGTCTTATTTGGCCTGAGCAATCAGATGGTCGTTACTTTCAAGGAAGAAAATCTGCTGACCTTCAAGCACCTTTTCCTCAAAGATTATGTTGACGGAGGAATGGAGACCTACGCCGTTTACAGACAAGCTGATGTTTATGATCACATCAACTACATTATTACTCAGGTGAAAGATATTACTTGAATGAAAATTCATGTGACATCACCAGTATTTTTGCTTTTGTGCTGTTGTTAATTATTGATGGACTTTTACCACTCTAGAGTCTTATATAACATGAAAGCCTGCAGATTGTATGTCACCACAGGACTGGACTTTGTTCACCTCCCTTTAGTTTTTCATTGATCATGATTGTGCTGTTTTGCCAAATAACTTGGTTTATGAAAGATACTGAGTTTCTTCTCCACCATACTTTGTTATCCTCCCAACCGTCATCACACTAATATGAATGCTTTACAATTGCCCATTCACAGTACGGACTTCTGCACAACAACACTGTTGGGAATCATGAATATGAGAAAAATGGCTCTTCCTACAACCCACTGCATCTCTGTCAAGACTTCTACAGGAATGGCAGCATCTACCCTGGAAGTGAAACCATTGAAATTGATGCTCACGTGGACACGGGTAAACGTTGTTATTGTTTATGACGTACACTAAACTTCATGACTGGTGAGGAACTGGCTCAAAAAGAAAGAAGGATAACTACTGTGCTGCGAGAATTGTACAGCAAAGCACTTTCTAGAGATTATCACCTCTGGCGGATATCAGTGCATCAACAGCCACCACACTTGAACACATTGAGGGAGTTTTAGATACATTCTGACAAGCTTTATGAAAATATTGATGCAGCTGCTTTCTAAAACAAAACAACATTATGGTTTTCCTTCCATGTAAAATATGAAAGCATTTCTCCATGACTCATCTTAAACAAGATGCTGTTCTGCAGAGACAGTGTCTCTACTAACAACTAATCCAAGCACAAAACGGAAGATGTTTTGCACAACTTTTTGTGGTTTCTGGAAATGCAGACAGTTCCTGCTACACAATTTTGCCTCGTCAGAAGCTTTTTGTTTCGCAGGCCAGAATAAAGTGCACTTCCTAAAAGAGGAATAGATACTTGGCTCGTCATTTCAGAGAAGCTCTATTTAATCTCAAAGCATTTAATAAGTAGCCTTGCCTTTTTTGAGAATGTCAGCTCTGGTTATGCACAGTAAGCAGCCTTATTTGGTTGCAGAAGTAACTTGTGATGCAAGTTTCTCTCACTTAACTATATTAATTAAGCTGATCCAAAAATCCTAAACAGCAGACATCAAACATCTCAGAACATAAAACTGAGGAATTACCCTGAGGAATGTGTAACAGGAGGTTTCTTATTAAACAGTGTAAAGAAGTTCTGAAAAAGATCTTCTTTACACTGGGAGGAATTTTTTTCAAAAGAATACGTCTAATTCAACAATCTGAGTGGTTGCTTTGTAAATCCAGACAACATGAAACTGTCAAACAGAAAGCTTATCAACTGGAACCACATGAGATTGAGGAAGCAAACGAGAAAAGAATCCAGTACAACCTGATCTGCTTAAGCTTTAAAGCTACACCCAGGTCAAGACGGCTTGGCAGACAGAAAGAAAAACAAAGCTAACATGATGAATGCATCCGAGTAGAATTGTTCTATAATGTAGAGAATCGCTTTCATAAAGAACCCTGATGATGTTTGTTCTCCCTCTGTATCAGAATGCTTTAAAATCTATCCAGTCATTCCTGTACCGCTACGTGACATGCATCAAAACTTTGAACTGCATTTTAAAAGGTTGGTGATAAATGTTTGTGTCTCTTAAATAAATAAAACATACTTTGGTTCCCTTGAATTATGCAGGTTATTTTTCATCTTCCTCTCTCTCCCAGGCTGCTCCTGGTGAAGATCACGTTTGATGTCAAGGCCATTAATCTGCAAACTGTGAGATATCGAGAGCTGCCTGACTGCTACGACTTCACTGTCATTGTATGTTTTTTGTTTTTTTTAAATAGAAATAGTTGGCATTGGAAATACTACAAAAAATACTTAACTATATCTTTAATAATACCAAGAAAGAGTTTAATAATGTTGCTTCCTTCCTGGATTTAATTAAAAATTGTGATTTTAGAAAAAATGCTTCTTCTCACTGTGAAACATCTGCTGACAGATTACGTTTGACAATCAAGCTCACAGTGGCAGAATGAAAGTCAACCTGGAAATGGATGTGGAAATCAACGAATGCAAAGACTGGAAAGTCATTGGAGCCTGTAAGGTCACCAGGCTGAGCGCACACTAGTCTGTGGGTTTTCTTTAATCTGAGACTAAAAGACTTTTTATTTTCATTTCATTCCTTTAGCTGCAAGAAAGATATACCAGACTGTGATGTTTGACTGCCTCATCGTCATAACCTGCATCACCTCCTTTGTGCTCTGCACGCGCTCAGTGATCAAAGGGATTCTGCTCATGTTTGTGAGTAAAATACATTTTTCTCAATAAATTCAAATGTACGTCGACGATTATTTTGTTTTGTGAAAGTTTACTTAAAATACTAAAGTAAAACTGTGCTGAGAGATCACCTCTGATAGTTTTATTGATTTGGGATTTATGGTTCTGGTTCTGTCAGCATAAACAGGAATGCGACTTTGTGTTCATACTTGTTTCACTTAAAACTTCCAAAGGAATGAAAGATAACTTTATTCCTTTGGAGCTGCCTGGTTCTAATGTAACCAGCTGGGATTGATCTATTATTTCTCAGCTTTACAGACTTCTTTGTGTTTCATGTTTTAGTTTCAATGCATTTACAAATAGCCTGTCAATGAACGTTATTGCTGGTTTTCTCATAGAGCTTAGTATATAACAAAAAAAACCTTTTTTTTTTTGTAAACAGGAGTACAGCCGTCATTGCACAACACACTCTGGTAGAGACGTGCCGTGGTCGGACAAACTGGAGTTTGTGAACGGCTGGTACATCCTGATCATCGTCAGCGACACGCTGACTATCATAGGCTCCATTCTTAAGATAGCGATCGAGTCGAAGGTAATGAAGACTTCTTTAGAAACTTCATGATTAGGTTTCTGCATTATCATCAGACCAACCAGAATTTTAGTTAAGCTTAACTATTCTACTTTTCTTCCAGGTCTTCACAAGCTACGATGTGTGCAGCATCTTCCTGGGCACCGGCACCATGTTTGTTT